GACAGCAGCGTCTTCGACACTTCGTTTGCCCGGAATTTGTGAGGAGTGAGGAATCGAATCGAGCTGGAAATCGCCGCCTATAACCCTAAATTAGTTTGATGCAGAAAATCAGAAATTAAAAAATTTATGCGTCTGAACTCTGAACTCAAAAAGTTCAAAACTTAAAAATATAAAAACTCAAAAAAACCTCAGAGAGTAGTCGATTACTGGGATGAGATCATGAGAATGAGATGAGACTTACAAAACTTACAAAAGTAGTGAAGTTAATCGGTGAAGATGAGATGAGACTTGAGCTCGAATGTCGACTGGTCGTAACTCGTAGAGACGTAGACTGATATCCTAAGCAGTCGATTCTCGTCTAGACTCGCAGACTGATAAGTGATATCCTAGACTCGCAGTCGATTCTCGTCTTCTTCTTCTCGATGATATCTCCTACAGTCCTAAGCACTGAAGTCTGAAGCAGTAAGCAAGCCCTAATGGCTAATGCCCTACTTTGATGAGAATGCCTAATTTGGTTCTCGACTTGGGTCTTGGGTTGGGTATTAACTGAGTCTGACTTGGGTAATTGATTGGGATTGGGCTTGGGTTGGGAGTTGGGGGAGCTGGGCCTGGGTGGGAGTGGGACGCTGGGGATGGGGCATGGCCTGGCCGCATGGGCCTATAAAATAGGTAATTGGGCTTAGTCGCTTAGATATTTTCGGTATTTCGGTTTACCAAAATTGTAAGATTATAAAACCGAAAACCGAACCGAAATACCAAAAATTCATTACCGAATTAGACCGAAAAACCGAAAAAACCGAAACCGAAATACCAAATTAATTTGGTTCGGTTCGGAATTCGGTTTTTCGGATTTTATGCCCACCCCTATGAAGCACTGTCCTCAGGTGCTACTCATGATCTTCCTGACTCCGAAAATACACCAGAATATCATCAATAAAGACAATGATGAACGAGTCAAGATACGGTCGGAACATACTGTGCATCAAGTACATAATCGATACACATACGCATAGAACCATCCTTTTTCTTCACAAACAAGATATGTGATACACTGGGCCGAATGAAACCCTTATCAAGCAATTCCTGTAATTGATCCTTTAATTCCTTCAACTCAGGAGGAGCCATACGATACGGAGGAATAGAATTGGGCTAAGTTCCCGGCAACAAATCAATGCCAAAATCAATATCTCTATCAGGCGGCATGCCCAGAAGATCAGCTGGAAACACATCAGGAAAATCCTGTACTACTGGAACTGAATCAACTGAAGGGGTATCAATATTGACATCTCTCACATAAGCTAAAT